CCTGCCGAGGGCAGCTCCTCTCTGCCTGCCGGGCTGTTTGCAGGGACAGTGAATGCCGAGGATCGCTTACACCGCTCCCCAGGCTCCAAAGGCAGGGACACCTTCCACAGCCAGGCTGGAGGTTCTCCAGGCCAGGTCCCAAAAGCGTGTGCTGAGAGTTTGGGGTGCAGAGCTGCCTTTGGAGGGGTCACTGAAGGGATTTCCAGGGATGCTGCAGCATTCCTTACACCGATGCTTCCCTGACAGTGCAGAGGTGTCCTGCTGGAACAAACACCCTCAGGGCTGCAGGGCCGGGCTCTGAGCTTGGGCTCTGTTTAACCCGCAGGCAGCAGCTCCCCGAGCCCTGCTCAGCCCCTTCACGTGTTCCTGGGCCGTGGATTATCCCCTGGTATGTGTTGAGGGCAGGGGAACTAAGGATTTAATAGGATCAGGGCTAATGTCTGGAGCAGCCAAAATAATTCATCAGCTTTGCTGGAAAAACAGGTGATCTGACCTTGCCAATGCCAAGCTTCACCGAGGCAGATAATGAAGGGTTTAGTGTTTAAGGAACATGGCTCCAAATAAGATATAAAATTGTTGGCATTGCCACTCTGTGGAATCCTCTGGGATTTGCCTCTGCCCAGCCCTGCTGAACACACAGACTTGCTCTTCAAACCTGCCCTGTTCTGGAATATTTTGGAATATTCCAGAAATCTGTATCTGCTAGGAAGATGGCTGTAGAGTCAGAGCAGGGTGCTGGCTCTGCTGTGCTGTGTTTCCACACTGGACAGGGCATGGCACAGGACCTGGGCAGTGTCAGTTCTGCCACTTGCCTGGTTCTGGTTTTAAATGGGTTTTTTAAACAAGTTTGGTTTGGTGTTTCTTGTAGTGTTTTGCTTCTGCAGCACCTGTAATGTCCATGGCACAGAAATTCCTGGTCCTGGAGTTCTGGGCTGTGTGGGGTGCAGGACAGGAGGGTCAGAGCAATCCAATGAGAGCAGCAGGCTGAGCTCAGCAGTGCCTGACAGAGCTGCTGCTGCTGTTTCTCCAGTAAATGCTGAGTCCTGGCAGGGCCTGACCCCTCGTTGGTCAGTTCTGCCCCAGGGATGCAGCCAGGGCCCTTTGGCTGGGTCACCTGGTGGGGCTGAGTCGGAGGGACCCCAGCTTGGGGTGAGCTCCCTCTGGGCACAGCAATGAGTTCAATGAATGCTTTAACAACCCTTCCAAGAGGGGCCAGGCTGTGTGTGTCCCATGGCTCTCAGCCTGGCTGCCAGGGGCTGCTTTGGTGGCAGAAAGGGAAGAAGTGCTGCACCAAGAAATCACTGTGGCTCCATTCCGGTGAGTTGTGTGGTCTTGGTGTTTGCAGTGGGGCTGCTGCCCTGGGGCCGGTGTCACTCCCCGAGCCCTGGTTTGCAATCTGCCCATCCCCAGCACTGATCCGGGCTGTCCCTGTGCCGGGGGGGTCCCACAGCAGTGATTTGGGCTGTCCCTGTGGCAATCTCCCTATCCCCAGCACTGATCTGAGCTGTTCCCGTGCTCAGGTGTCCCACAGCAGCCCTGGTTTGCAGTTTCCCCATCCCCAGCAATGATTCTGTGTCTCCCCATGCTCGGGGGTCCCACAGCAGCCCGGTGCCCCAGCTGCCCTTGGCTCTGTGTGTCCCCTGTGCTGCTGCCTCTCTGCATATTGCAGGCTCATTCTGATGTGCGCTAATGCTATTATCCTCCAGAAATTGAAATCAAGTCTGAACCTATAATGTTTCACTGGGAGGGAATTGGGGTTATATATTCCTGTGTACAGCAGCATTCTATTTCAGTCATAGCATTTAATTATGATTGGTGTGTTAGTGCCCACCAGAGCATAACAAATTGTCATTATGTTATTCTGCTGAGTCTAATTTAATTGGCAAGTTGTCACAAAAGCAATTATCCATCATTTATTTTGTTGCCATAACCACATCTTGGAGAGCACCTGCTGTCTGAAGTGGAAAGGCTCTGCAGTCTCTTGGTCCTGGATTTCTTCCACTCGCCTGACACAAAGACACCATTTCCTCCTCTTGTTTAAAAACACGTTCCTGGTTTCCCAGCGTGGGCTGGGGATGCTCTGTGCAGGGGGAGCCCTGTGGGGACATCCCGGAGCTGCTGTGACCCACAGAGACCTTGGGGACAGCCCAGGGTGTGCTCAGGTGTGGGAGCCTCTCCTCACTTCTACAGAGCTGGGATGAAAGAAGGAGAGAAAGGAAAACTCTAAACCAGACATCCCCTGCCTGGAGTAAACACAACTCCTGGCTTCTTGCAAATAATTTTGGAGGAAAATGGGGAGGGGAAAAAAGCCCCTGAGCTGCTGGTGGTTTATTTTGGTGTCTAAGCACACGGAGGTGTTTGGGGAAGCAGAAGGGCTGCAGGCCCTGGGAGCCTGGCTGGGTCTGGAGCTGCTCAGCACAGGAACAACACCAGGTTTGTGTTGTCCATGCCCACCCTGGGGCTGCCCTTCCCTGGCTCCAGGGCCGCTGGAATCCATCCCAGAGCCTGGGCTGCTCCCCACGGAGCCCGTCTCAGATAAAGCATCTCGGGGAGATTAGGAGCTGGGAAGATTAGTGCCTCTCTATAATCCAGCAGGCAAAGCAATCTCAGACTTCCCAGAGCAACCCCAAAGTGCTGATTTTCTCCTTCCTGAGACAGCACGTGGTGGCTGTGACCTGTTCGCTTCTGAGATTTTGGAGATTGCATCCCAAAATCCTGCGAGGCTAATGCAGACTCATGAACTCAAAGCCTGTGACTCACTGTGATAAATGGGTAAATAAATGAAAATCTGTTCTGATGTCTGTATTTCTGAGAGTTCCTCCCCTCTCCGCCCTGTCTGTAATCTCTTCCCCTCTGGTAGTTCCGATTAGCTGCTAATGAGGAAAGATGATTTTGTAGTTAAAGCACAGAGAGAGGGTTTTGTTCCTAGTTTTGCTTTTTTAAAAATTCT